AATTTAAATATTTTACTTCATTTCACCTGTGCTGTCCTGGTCAATATGCAATATGCATAATAGAACAATTTAATATATGCTACTTGTTTTGGTCACACTACATTGCTTGTTTATTTTCTATCAACCGCCTATCAACACCATAGAAACCACCCAGAACACCCTCGCAATTGCCTAGCCTCACCATAGCAACCACCAAAATACCCTAGCAACCGCCTATCAACACCATAGAAACCACCCAGAACACCCTCGCAATTGCCTAGCCTCACCATAGCAACCACCAAAATACCCTAGCAACCGCCTATCAACACCATAGAAACCACCCAGAACACCCTCGCAACTGCTTAGCCTCACCATAGCAACCACCAAAATACCCTAGCAACCGTCTAGCAACACCATAGCAACCACGCTGAACACCTTAGCAACACCATAGAAACCACCCAGAACACCCTAGCAACCACCCAGAACACCTTAGCAACCACCTAGCAACACCATAGCAACCACCCAGAACACCCTAGCAACCGGGCGGTGAGTTTTGCCACTGCAAGCACTACTTCACATTTTCTTCTGGAAACGTACATTCTAAAATAAACTATATTATATATATATGATAAACTGATTACATATCACATCTAACATGAAAATTTGTAAATATACTGTTTATAAATAATCCGTCTCTCTCTCTCCCTCCTCCACCCATGGCAATGGAAATGAAAGAGCAAGTTGAGAGCGTTGCATTGTGGGATAGAGTCGAGATCACACATACAAAACATATCAAAAATGATATCTGGTGTCTGAATAATGTTTGGTTTGACTGTATATCATGAATTATTGTAAAGCCGACGACACCATCACAGCTGAGATCACACTGGCTCAAACGAGACATAACACTGAGCCGTGGCCGTGTGTTACATAAGAGCGAGAGTCTTGCGGACATCTCTTTCTCTCTCTCTCTCTCTCTCTCTCTCACACACTCACACACACACACACTCTCTCTCTCTATCACTCACACACTCTCTCTCTCTATCACTCACACACTCTCTCTCTCTCTCTCTCTCTATCACTCACACACTATCTCTCTCTCTATCACTCACCGAAAAAACACACTCTCTCTCTCTCTCTCTATCACTCACTCACACACACACACACACACACACACTCTATCACTCACACACACTCTGTCTCTCTTGTTTCCCATGTGAGAACCTCAGGAGACTCTAATGGAAACCAGCTGTTGGGCCGATCACATCTACAGACATCCAGCGCTCTCATTGGCTGTGGCTGAGCCGGCTGCTGTCTGATTGGCTGCCGCATGAGCGTTCCACTCTCTGCGATTGGTTTCGGTCTTTATGCAAATGAAGTGTTTGCTCAGGGAGAAAGGGTCAGTTTAGTGCAGGAAATCAAATCGCTCGGACAGTCCGTACTTGGGTCAGGACGCAGTTTTATTCATAAAGGACGAATTAAAGACATTTATAATATTCCAAAAGATTCTATTTCAAATAAATGTTGTTCTTTTGAACTTTCTATTCATCAAAGAATCATGAAAAATAAACGGTTTCCACAAAAAATGACAGTTTTCAACACTTATAATAATCATAAATGTGTCTTGATCATCAGATCATCATGATTTCTGAAGGATCATGTGACACTGAAGACTGGAGTAATGATGATGAAAATCACAGGAATAAATTACACTTTACTATATATTCACATAAAAAACTGATGATTTACATTAGAATAATATTTCACAATTTTTACTGTATTTTTGATCATATAAAAGCAGGCTTCAGCAGAAGAGATGCCAATAGTGTGTATTTTTTATGACATTTTAACAGTTCAAATGAAGAAATACTATTTAAATGGTTTTAATTACTGTATTAACGCTCTCTCATACAAAAGACGAGCAAACAACTCAAAACAAACATTATTCACGATGCCGTTTAATTATATATCACGGTCAGATATATAATGATAAATATACAATATTCTTTCCCTCCCGTCTTTTTGTTTGTTTGTTTGTTTGTTTGCTCGACCTTAGCATGTGTGAATGAGCATGAGAGCAGAGCATGCTGGGATACCCGGGAGCGTGTGTGTGCGTGTTCCCAGAGGATGCTGGGATGTGGAATGTTTGGGGGAAGGACAATGAGGTTGCCGTGGTGACGGAGGGCCGTAAATGGGACGAGGACGCTGTGTTCATTTCCGCAGTCTCGCTCTCTCGAATATAATAATATCAAACAGCCATCGAGAACGAGCAGATATTTCATTTCATTCATGACTCTCTGGTCTTATTGTGAATGAATCACCAGACCGTGAAAACATAAGGAACCCCAAACCAGGCGGGGCTCATTTGCATATGTATATAATTGTATATATAATTATATATATTATGGGTCACGAGCACCGAGAAATTTTTATTCATTATATTAATTCAGATACGTATTCGTGATTCGGTGGCTCTGATTTGTCAAAACACCATTCAAACCATTTGCTACGGATGCAAAAAACGCAGAAAATCGAACCCAATCCGATTTTTTTTATGACGGACGAAAGTTTCGGAGGCAGTGTGCGAGTGTGATTGACATAACGTAAGGTCACATTTATTTTTTAACGTGCAAAAATTTCGGACACAAATTTCGCACTCGGTGTGCAAGGGCCTTAACCCCTATTTAAAAAAAAAAAAACGGTGGCGTGTTCCTTTAAAATACTGATGTTCTGTTCTATAACTCCTCCCCGCGCTCTCATCATTGGCCGATGTAGTTTTCTGTCAGAACACA